ATGGCAGAATAAGTGTACCCTACTTGTTTAATTGCATACTGTAAAGCATATTTCGTCATCCAATGATGTTCACCTTAAGCAGCCTATTTCACATCCCCATGCAGGAAGTACTTGCCTTCCTCACTGCTTCTTTTAAACAGAAATTTCCAATTTCAACTCAGTTTTCTTTGAAACATTCATTCAACAAGAAACCTACTGAGAGGTAGAATCGGGCAGAACAGTACAACAAGGGGAAAATAAAAAAATCATTAGTCATAAGAGGTTGGCTTTAGTCATCCAAAATCTAGTGTTCAAAAATTGATGGGTGCACATTCTTAACATAGGCTGCAGGTTTGGTGGATTCAGATTGTTGTTATTTTTATTTGACAATTGGGAATGTTAGAGTTATTGATTGATAAAGTGTTGTCTTTTTTACTTCAAGAGTCAAAGAAACCTCCAAATAGGTTCTAAACTGAACAACACAATCATTGTTAAACTAGATGTTTGCTTTCCGTTTTTGATCCCTCATGACTCATTCAAAATCAAACATAACAGTTATCCACTAATTTATAAACTTTCATAGACTTCATGGTGAAATCAGTTGAATGTGTTGCACAAAAGTTACAAAGTTCAATCTTGTCAAGGAGCTTCCCTTGAAAACACAATCTCGATGCACAATCTTTAATAGTTGAGTATATTTTGCAATGCTTGCCTTAGGAATGAAACTGAAAATGATATATTAATTTATGGTTAAACACTTTATCAATTCTTGTTCATTGGGAAGGACCAAATCTATTAGAATAACTTCAGGATTTAATGGGTTTGTCCTATCATAGTTATCTTTATTATCATTATTATTTTTGTAATGATCATCATCATATCATGTTATCATCTTTATCTTTCTGCATGATAGACTGGCATTGCTGAATTTTTTTAACTGTAAATGCTCAACAACAACTTCTACAGACCTAAAACAACAACAACAAACAAAACAAAATTTTAAAGCTTTGTGGTTATTTTTTTCCCCACAGGCTGGCCTCCCTCCACCGCTGCAGACCTCTCATGATGTTTCTCTATCAAGTCCAGATTGTAAGTTCACCAATGTAGACAATTATTCATACAAAATATTGTGATCATGTACATGTGTACTCTAGGGCTCACATGGATAGCTTACCTCTCTGGTAGTAGACTTGAATTTGAGGAACCAGCATATAGTTTGTAATCCAAGAATCTGCGCTTAAATATGGTCAATATACTTGAAATCCAAACTTGTGATTAACTATTATGAAACAGACTGATGAGAGGTTCAAATTACATCTTTGGTAGGCTATCCAATAAGTAGAGACAATTTAATGCATCTTTTATGGTAATCATACAGTGTACACTTTTCATTTTCATTTGTATTTTGGCCATTTGACAAAACCTTTTGCTTATAATTACAAGCCTAGACCTTAATGTTTCTGACGTGAAAATGGGACTGCTTTTGTCTGTTAGGGTAGGAAATTTCCTGCATGCATCCCAAAGCAATTTTCCTTTTGTTTGATCTTATTGAATTGTAACCAAGCATATACATTTTTACATTATTGGTTGAAGGTTCTCCCTTCTTGTTACTTTTTCTCCCAATACAACTTCCTGGAACATTCCATACCAGTGTTTCAAGACTGCTCTTAATTTTTTCATTTTTGTTTTTAGTTTTCCTTGATCTCCCTATCCTCTCCACTTATTTTAGATGACAATCCTTTTGTAAAAATTCCATTGGCAAAACTTGGGTTCATTGATTGTAAAGCAGCTACTCTATAAGGCTATAAACATTTAATCATAAAAAAATCAGCTATTACTTTTCAAAAATATTTCTCAGAAAATGAATACCAGTTACTCTCATCTAAACATACCAATTCACCAATGAGTCAAGCCTAAGTAATTTTGAGCATTTCACAGATCAAAAGTCTGCTCGTAGTTTATTAGAATGTCAATTCAAACTGTGGTCAGTCTTAGAATAAGTTGTGACTTTACTTTTGGTGAAATAGTTATTTTTTTGGTCTCACAATCTTTTAGATATAATTGCATGTACATGTACTATGATAAAAATGTCTATTTGTTCTTAAAATTAGCTGTGAATAATCTTTGGTGTTAAAACTCAAGTATTTTAGACAGTGCACTATCATTTCTTGTGGAGAGATTGCAAAACATTAAGCTTTCGTTTGATTTATCAAAGTATAATTACCACAACTGCTAAACCTGAAAAGACAATTTACTTTGTTTACATTTTTCCATGTTTTACAATGTCAGCATGGGGCTGATTAAAAGTGACACCCTGGAGTTTAAAGAAATACCTCTTGGTCTAAACTGTGGCAGAGTGATTATTCTCTAGTACTAAACAATGTTGCATCATATTCAAAGATCATTCTAAATAGATGTTTAGTTCTAATTTTAGAGTCAATTTTCTGGTCCTGTTTACTTGAAGAAATGAAAGTTATGTGATTTTTAATTTAACAGAAAGTTTGAGTTGCATGCAACGTCATAACTTTACTATGTTATTGACTTCTCCAAACAAATGGAACGTGAAAAAAACAATGATTCTAATCTGCAGGAGAATCATTACAACATGTTTTGAGATCAAAGTTCAAAAGAAGCATTTTAGCCAATAAGTAATTTTGTAAGCAATGAAAGGAATTTGTCTCGTCATGGGCAATTAACAAGTGAACCCTTAAGTCTTTACTCGGAAGACCTACTCAAATCTGTCCTTATTTAGTCATTACAAAATTTATACACACAACATGTCTTTTAAAGTTATTAGTAGGTAATTTTAGAGATTGTATCTTTCTTTATTATTAATTCAGGGGATCCAAGAAGGAAACAGTACTTTTTAAACACTAGATGGCTTAATTTACTCCTGTCTTCATTGAAAATCTATGACACTAGCAAAAAATGGTGAACAGGAAAGCATGGTTAGCTTAACCAATGCATGACTGAGTGACATCACTATTGGAACTGATATATCATTACATTAACCAACAATAAAGCATTTTCAATGGAACATTTTTAAAGCTGCTTTTTAAAAATGTTGCCATTTTTCATGGAAAAGTATCAATAATATTATGATATCAACTACTTTTTAAAACTTCAAAGATCAACATAGCTTTTAAAACTTCAAAGATCAGTGTAGCCTTTAAAAAATTGTCTTTGTATGTGCCAAAAATTTGACAATGGAGGCAGCCATTTTGAATGTGGTGGCGTAATTTCAAGTTGACAAATCTTACTTCTCATTTTTTACATCTCTTGGTATCATGGTGGCTGCTGGTCAGGAAATATATGTAGCTAGGAGGGAAAAATTATTCAGGGGCAGGGATGTTTTCAAGGCAACTTACTTAATCATCATTCACAATTCATTTTTTAAAACATGTAAACTGGGAAATGACCAAGAAGAAATAATCAAGACACACTTTTGCCTGCAGAATAGACTTATGCACTGCCTTAAAATAATTATTTTTGATGAATTTTACAAGTGTCTGTAATAACTCTGGTAGCCCTGGTCAATCTAAAGTTTGGCTTATTACTTTGTTTAGCACATATCCAAGTAGTTCTAGGTGCTGTGTGAGGAAAAACAAGAGATTAAAAAAGCTTGGTTTCCAGGAGGTAAAAATTTGGTTCCTAAAAAAACAGCTTCCTGTAAACATTGTCAAAATTGGTTACAAAGGGATCACCTGCTAAGCTGCAATACTTTTGAGAGTTAAATATGGTCCTATCAATAATTTAAGGATTTGTGTACCAGTGAGATGTTGTAGATCCACTGCGCAGTGTTTTCAGAGGCCTGGCCAAATCTGTCCTTATTTAGTTATTAAAGAATTTATAAAAATTATTCAGAGTCAGGGAGATTTGAGGAAAAGTACATCTTTTGAAGATTAAGTCAGGAAACACTAAAATCTTGAGTCAATAACTGAACTCATTCATCTTGTTTGAACCTCTTCATGATGAAAGATTCTAAGATTTGACGTTAGGTGATGCCCACAATTACTTGTGTATATTGTTTAAAATAGTTGATAGATTCCTGATATACTTATTGTTTCCCCTTGCAATGTACATCTTAGTTCAAGATTTTTTGTAAATGAAATCATCCTCTCTCACTTTTGCCAATTTTATTGTTATCTCCAATTTCATAATTGTTGCATGGACATGAATTGTGTTGGATTGGTAGTATATTGTTTAATGAAATTAAACATTAAACCTGACAATGGGTGTCAAAGAAATCAGTCCTTTTTACAAATTACACTAAAGAACTATCAGTTTGTTTACAATGAATGTAACTTACTGAAAGCTTAAATAAATGGATAGAGAAGATGGCTGTGTAAAGTGGTTGGAGGCCATTATAACAACCAATTCATTCAACTTTACACTCAAGGTTTAATAAGTCGAGGAAAAGTAAGGGAATTTCAAAATCCTATGGCTACAGCAATCATGGGTGATCTGTTTAGGAAATTGATTTTTTTTAGAGCCTTGGAATTTTTTCTAAAGAACAACTGTACTATGTGTGCATCATTAAATAAACCTTGATAGCCTGATGTATGCCACAAGTACAGTGTTCACCCTTTCAGACAGTAACCAGTAACATTTACTGCCTGTAGTACCTCTTATTACCATTTAAAATTGCTTGGAATTCTTGAAATTCAACAGGTAAAAGGATTGCTTTACTGGTTTGAGAATTTATTTTACCTGTCATGCTTAAAATAAGGGAGAACACTGATGTATGATGTACCCACCCCCTGTCTGTACTTTTCACACATCTACCATGTTATGAACTTGTTTTCAAAATGCATTCAAACTGCTGTGCAGTCAATTATTTTTTTTCATACTTGAAATTATTTTACTTGTGATTCAATCTAACCATGATGTGATATATTAAATTTTATGGCAAATTGTAATATTAATTGACAGCACCAATAGGTAACATGCTATGGTTAGAGGTCTTGACACCATGCATTATGTTCTTTATTTCTATTGTTACTGTAGCATGTGTTGTTTACCTTGTGGAGAAGTATTTTGTCCTGTCTAACCACTGCTTGTTAATGTCTTTTTTTCTAGGGAGAGGAAGAAAGTATAAGTCAAGCAAAAACAATAGCTCCCTTTCTGTAAGTGTGCCGAGATATGAATTTATTCTGGGGAGGAAATCATGGAATTTTGAGTTGATTACACATTCACTGTTTGACCTTTCAATAATGATGAAGACTCCGGTTTTAAATAGTAAAATATACTTATATTGTACCTTAACCAACAAAAGGTTTACTGGTTTTCAGCTGCATTCTGTTTGGTAACTTAATGTTGTAAATAATCTTAAGTCACATGTAAATGTTGACCTCTTCATACATTGACAGTACATAGTGTGACTTTGATCAAACACAATCATTGACTGCCTCTGATAAGTCAAATATTTCTGCCAATGAATAACAGACCAAGGAGTGTTTGTTACATGATAGCTGAATAAAAAATAAGTTTCAAGGGAGGAGAGGCTAGGAGTCTGAAGTCACAGCATGCAAGCTTTTTAAAAAACAATGAAAAGACATATGAGTGAGCTGTGGCCTTTTAATGTAGTATTTTTGAAAGATGCTACTCCCAATGATTTTATAAAGATGTTTTAATGGCAATCTAGGGCTTATAAAAATGTTTTTTCCAGACTGCTTTAAAATGAAGGGAAGACTGTAGTTATTGTCATTCCATGCTGTGCTGATGGATTTAAAACATGCATTTGAGAATTATTCATTGTCCTCCATCTTACGAATTTCTGATCACTGCAGAGTCTTAGAATGCTACATCATGGTAGATTACTTAGTTTTTCAAAGATAAATACCAGCTGTAAAGCTTAAAGCACAGAACATCTGTTTAAGTAGGAAGGAAAAACTGCCAAATTCTTCCCCTGACTGTAGAGGTTGTGGTTTCTCATTTAGGATAAAGTTACAGGCAGATAGGCATAGGTCTGCCAGTTATCACTGTCACCTAATGTCACATGATAGCCTAATCAGAGCTTGAGTGCCTGTGATTGGTAAAAACATAAGCAAGGCCTTTGTTTAGATAGAAGGATCATCTTACAGTAATTAGATTATTGTCCTAATGTTGCCTGCATGAGGCGCTGTTAGGGAGCAGATAAAATAAGCCAGACAATACTTGGCCTGTTGTTCAGAGCAGTGATTTTTCTAAAAGATTTTTCCATGTGGAGACATCCATATCCTCATCAAAGACCTCTACTTCCCTATCATGCCAGGGGAAAGGTATAATTTATATCTTTGAGTACATTTGAGGCATTTCTATTGAACAGGGTTGTTTGAATAATGGTTTTATTTACCCTGATGTCACATCACTTTCACTTCAAGATGTGTCCTCAGAGATGAAACAGAAGGTCTTAAATATTGCCTGCGTCATTTCTCTCAGCTAAGATTGGGAGCCTAAATCAGTCATAACAGGATGTAGATAAGCCTTGTGGAGATTTCAGAACTTCCAAGAGCTTTGAAAAGCGGTTTCTTGATCCCATATGCTGAGTAACTTGAAACAACTGTTACTTCACTGTGACCCCCTGTGAAAGACAATTTACATGTGCTTTTCCTCTTCAATTATTGTTCAAAATGCTAGGATAAATACACATCAGGATGGCTGGTTGTGAAATGACAAGCCAGCTCTCTTCTAAGTGACTGCTGTCGCAATTTGCCTCTTGATCCCAGTTTATCTTTTAGTGTGCTTTGGGGTCTAATATTGCATCCTTTTCATTCTTTGGGATGCTGAAATTAAACATTGTTTTTCCTTTTACAGGTCTATTCACCAGGTGCCGATGACATGATGCCTCATCCTGGGGATGCCTTGACTCAATCTCATTACTCTCCTAAAGGGGGAATCTACGCTGATGCTTACTACATGGGTGAGAAGGATTAGCATATCTTGTGTTCCAGTCGCCATCTTGCACTTTAATTTTTGTGCTCTTTGACCACCATTTTGGAAGAGTCTCTTGTTACAGTCTAATTTGTAATTTTCTTTGCGCCCAATACTTCACTTTCTTGTTTTCCTCTTTACTGTTCTATTATTAGTAAATTAGTTCTTTTATTAATCAACCAATGACTGGTGGAATTTGTTGTAATAAAGCTGTCTTGTCCCTACCTGAAATTTCTTTTAACATTCTCTGTTCCTGACGTTTTTGTGAGCAAAATTGTTGAATCCACTCAGATGTTTCCTCTCACTGTGTCAGTTGTCAAAGACACAGGCTTCTGTTCTCAACTAGCCATAGATAAATAAGCAATGCCATATTTCTTGTTGAATTACCAGCATGAAAAACCCCAATGCTTGTCATTGGAGTGAACTGAGAGGATACTTGCTAGAGAGTAACTCAAAATAACATGTGGTAAAGGTGAAGTCGCTTAACAGACTGTTAATAACTACAAGTCTGTTGAATACCTGCAGTGGCTTAACACCACACTTGATTAGTTTTTTATTGGGGGCTATTTCAGTTACAGTGATGTGGTAAAGGCTGTTATACTCATTTGTGTTTATGGGCACTTCATTTGTGGTTTCCAGCTGAAGTAACATTATTCTGTCATTATAATCAATCTTATCATAAATCAAATTTTTCATGGCTTGTGTAGTTCATGACTCAAAATACACTGTCTTTAATGTGATTATTTTCAAATTTATTGTAAATTTAGCTTTATATCTCTTTTTCTGTGAGAATTCTGAGATTCTGTCCTCAAAAGGCTTCTATTTGCTTCACTGTGCACTGATTTCAGTGTTTGTAACATGTAACAGAATGAGTTTTTATGAAGAGCACCTCCACACTTGATCTGGTCCATTTTTTTTTTTCACAAAGGAGCATCCAAATAACAGGCTTTTATTCTGCCACATGTTTTGGATGAGCTACCACCTCATAGACAATTCATATTTTGTCATCTGTTTTTCAGATTTTTGTACCTTTAATTTTTGTGATGCCAAAAATGTTGTTAGGTTGTGATCACCAATTGATGTACATGGTTTCTTTTTTTCCACTTTGAGATTTCCTATTTTACATTGATATACGATGGAAACAAAGCTTCTATGGAGTGTCTTTGACCCTACCTCCTATATCTTATATAACACAAATGATTTTTGCTGATTCCAAGAATTCTTTGCAGTAATTATGTGTTGTTTCATAACCGAAAAACATCATAAGGAATTGGTATATGTTAATTTTTAGCATTTTTTCCAGAAGAAATGAAAGGTCTCTTTAAATGGTGCTGTATTTTTTAAATATTTCTTTCTTCGTGTCTCAAAGTCTTTTGTCAACATGTAAATTAGATTGCAAGTTAGAGTGATTAACTTTGGTTATAGAATCTTGTTCAATTTACCTCAAGGAATTTTTCATACATGAAATCAAGCAGTCAAACAGTATGTGTATATGCATTTCATGCTGATGTTGTGTGAATGTTATCATGTGTTATATTCTTTGAAGAGGCAATGACCAGCTTTGCTAAACTTGATGCAACCCTTACTAAGCTAAGACTTACTAAGCAAATGATTTCAATGAAGGTGAAGAAATAAATTCCTAAAAGGCAGAAAATAACTTCAACAAAAATTTACTAACAAGAATAAGAAGGGAAAGTAATAACAAAGATACAACAAGACCAAAAAAATTCAAAATGCAGCGCAAGATACATGAAACACTTGAAGGGAAGGGATTATGATGCAGAACCTAAATGAAAGCCCACCACACCAAAGGCAAGAAACAGGGAATCTTTAGAGTGGTGTGATTTACATCAAGTGCTAAAAAAGTAATGCATAAATGAAAAATGAAAAGATTGGGAGTTAATGAAATGGTGTGAGGTGTCTAAGAAGTTTGAAATCAAATAAAGAATTAGACACAAAATTTGTCATACCTGAACATTACTGAAGCATTGAAAAAAATTTAGAGGCTAAAAAGGTCTTTTTTATTGTTTTACAAAAATAGAGAGAGAGAGAGATGCATTTATAACTGATTTTAGGTCAAGTCATGATGCTACCTGTCACCTGGTTCTTGTTGAATAAGTACATTTACATTCTCATCCTGACATTTTAAGCTCTTACCATATGTGATTGATTCAGTTAGTTTCAGCTTTAGTCTTTCTGTTGGGTTCTTTGTAAAAAAAAATGGTTTTAAATGTGGCAATTCTTGGACCAAATCGAGATTTACCCTCTCTTTAGTCAAGTGCTCTTTTTATTAAACTTTATTCCTTTAGTATCAAGAAATCTTGATTTGAAAGCTTGTTCTAAAGTATTAATGAATGACTTTGTGGCCTAAATTGTATCCTTAAGTTTTCTGTCTTACTTCCCAAATAGAGTCTTTTAACTGCTCTTTTTTGCTCCAGTATTGGAGATACATGTGCTTGTTGTGTTTTATCCTATGAGCATATAATTTAAATTTTGAAGTGGGTGCCCACTATTATATAAATCTGACCAAGCTATCATAGACTTATATACAAGCAGCTGCTTGTAGCCACTTGTTCATGCTGATGAACATGTTTCCAAAATTTGTTTGGTATTTGCTTCTACTTTCTTTAACTTTATTCTTATCCAATTCATTACTTAAGCTGATGTTAAATGGCTGATGGGAGGTGTTAAACTTTTCCCCTTTGAAATAAGTTGAAAAGGGATTTCAAGGTTATATGAAAAGGATTTCAAAGAAATATGCTGTGTGGAAGGTGTTGTAACTCAATTTCTGCTTTGTTTCCTTTTAGATCATGGCTCACCAGATCCATGGGGGCACACTGGTCAGCTTGGTCCAGGATCTTACTCTGGTTCAGCTGGCTCCTACAGCAACAGTTATGGCATGCATCCAAGAGATAGCATGGTGGGTTACACAGTTCAGTTACAATCACAATTTTGCTGGGTTGATTTGGTTTTGCTTAAGTTTGTTTACAATGAGGGGTTTTGTTTGTTTATTTTTAGAGCGATGTTCGTGGTATTCCTGTTTCAGCATTAGCAAAGGGGCCAGCAATTCACCAACCTAGGGTGGGCTTTGTTTATGGTGTTAAAAAATACACATACATCATCTCTGATCAGCATTGTGCTGACAACTTCCTCTCATCTCCTTGAACACAAGCTCAGCTGACTGTAATCATTGCAAAATTGGGTTAGACACATAACATGCTGGTGCCATTTTAAGGGTTTTTATTGCTGTCAATTAACATTTAACACCACCAGTAGTCTTCCGGTCATTTATCACCTTGTGGGTCTTGCTTTTTTTTTCGTTTTCTCTTCTGATTCTCTGACCCTTTCACAAGTGTCATGCATGAAAGAAGTGAGTGTTAAGCTGTTTGAACAAGGAAATCATCTAATCCTTATGTCTTTATTCTTAACTGACCAGTGTCTCTTAACACATGGAGAACTACATGTATTTAACATACTTGTACTTT